TATAAATTATTTCAGTATCTTATTGGATTGCAGGTTCTGATATAGGGGGTTTTGTGTGGATTCTGAAATTTTCTGTTTCCTAATAAGCTTTTAGGATATGGGTATTGTATTTAAATTTACATAGTAAAAAGTGTGGAGGATGCTCTAAAGAGCTTTCCAAAACCCAGGAGGATTTGTCAGTGTTTGTGGAGAGAATTTAATTTGGTGGAAGAGAGGGGCTTAAGAGACAAAGCTTATGTAAAGACAAAGATCACAGGATGTATGCTATTTGTGGAGGACAGCAGGTCTGCTTGTGGACACATAGGGGTGGGTACTTAAATCTTTTGCACCTTAGAAAACATAGCCCCCAACTTTGATCATTTTCTGTCTTTGCAAAATTTTCTCTTTCTCCCTGTCTAGCATTTTTGTTTAACTTCTTTTAAATCTGAACTTAGGTAGGTTGGCATGACTTGTGAGATCCTAGGAGCAGAGGGGTTGGCCAGCAGTAAAACATTGTATGCATGTTTTTTGATTGTATGTTTTGGGTGTTGGTTATGGGACCATCAGTTATTTCCCTTGCCCTGTAGCCTGCCTAATTATCCACATGAGCTTCAGACAAAGTACCTTCAGACTGGGTTAGTGCTTGGCCCCCAGATGAACAAACTCCTTCCTTTAATGAGGTACCAAATAAGGATGTCTTTCTAGATGCTCCAAGTTAATTATAGCTATAGTTTACAGCTTTTCTTGTTTTTCCACTTGAACCAGAAGATTCATTTGAATGTTATTTAAGTAACCTTTGGTTCTGGACAAAAATATTAAAGCCAGATCATATGTTACTCTTTTTTTTTTTTAAGCTGAGGATCGAACCCAGGGCTTCGCGCTCTACCACTGAGCTAAATCCCCAACCCTCATATGTTATTCTTAACATTTATATTACTTTGTGAAGTGCTAATGATCCTTTAAGCCCCAAATCTACTCTCAGCCTTAGGGCTTGCCCTTCTGATCTTTTTTCCCTGAGGTTCTGGAAGCATTACTGTCCCATGCTTCACCAACTTTGAGTTCTTCAGCTTCTTCAGTAGTTTATGCATATGCCCACTCTTGTAGAGGAAACACAGTTCACTGTCAGGGTCCTTTCCTCATAGCCACATGATGGACTCAAAGCTCTTCTATTTTCAGATGGCAGAAGTAGGACTTAGATAATAATACACATGGTTCTCTCTCAGAAACACTTCCATGCCTGGTCCAGTATTCTTGTGTGTTCATAGTTTGCCCTTCAGTAGATTTTCTTTCTTTCTTGAGTATGTACCTTTTTTATTTTCTTGCATAAAGTTTTTTAACATGATTTTTCTAGATGCTTTCTGGTATCAAATAAATATTTTTTCCCCAGATACTTTTTAGGCATTTTCAAGTGTTTGTATATTCTCTTGTTTCAGCATGTCCAAGTAGTGTGCTTTTTTGTTAGCATACTTAGATCATAGGAGAGGATTTTTCTCAATTACTTAAATATTCAGACTACTCAGTTCTTTGCGGTTCTCCTTAAAAGACACAAAAGCAGTGTAAAATATGTGTTGGTTCTGAGGCATCTTCCTGGTGTATGGGAGAGGTGCAAGGTAGAGTAGGCCAGGCCAGAACTGGGGTAAGGCATTCAAAATGCTAGGTCACAAACTTAAGGAAGCACAAGGCTATACAAGTGCAAGATCAGTACCTGAGACTGAGTACCTTCTCAGATTTTGAACCCTAGATTCCTTGCTTGCACTGGCCTGGTCTTGGCCTTAAGCAGTTAGATCATTTGGAAATCATGTCTAAGATAGCACGATACTGTAAGTGAATGTTCTAGAAGAGTGTTTCTCAAGTTTCACATTTATAACAATCACCTGGAGGTCTTGTTAAGAGTCAGATTCTGGGACTGGAGAGATGGATCAGTGGTTAAGAGCACTGGCTGCTCCTCCAGAGGACCCAGGTTCAATTCCTGCCACCCACAGGGCAACTCACAACTACTGTAATTCAGTGCCACTTGATTTGACACCCTCACACAGACATACATGTAGGCAAAACACCAATGCACATATAAGAAAAAAAGTCAGATTCTGATTTAGTGGGTCTGGGGTAGTTCCTGAGTTGTGCTTTTCTTTCCTTCCCTCCCTGGCTGGGGATTGAACCCCCAACCTGTGACTGCTGGGCAAGAACTCTAGCAAACACTCGGGTGATTAATGTAGTTCTTTGGTCCATGCTAGAGAAATTCACTAAGGTGAAATTGGAGAGTAACTTGGATTTGGATAGGAAAAGAAAGAAAAGAGCATTACAGGGAGAAGGACTAGCATGGAAAGGCCCCAGGGACAGCAGTGAGTTCCATGGATTTGGGGATTATAATTAGATGAGTTTGGCCTGGAGTAGGTCTGAGTTGGTAAAGACTTTTCAATAAGTAGCATGAAACTTGAACATTAGTTATTCCTTTAGAAATGAGAGCCTATTTGTCTGTTCCTGAACCTCCCAACTGAGCTTTTCTGGATTTTTCCATATATTTGTTCCCTCTTGGAGTATCTGACCTCTGTTCCTGGCAAGGTGAAGGCCTGAGTCAGGACACCTGAATAAATTCTGTGAGGCAGCATGCAGAGCAGGAGAAGGAAGGAAAGTGGTTGATTCCGTTACCCAAATTGATTCAGCAAAGCCTTAGTTTTTTGGTTTTTTTTTTGTTTGTTTGTTTGTTTTTAAATTTAGCTAGGACATACAAAAGCCAGAAAGCTTGGCTTACACAGTGTTGAGTACTCCCAGTACACACGCAGATAATACTTGCTATTGTGTAAAACTTGACTTAGTAGTGGAGTGAAGTTCTGTGTTTTATCTCAAATGTTTTATTTAAAATGTCCCTTCTTTTCTCTCTCTCTCTCTCTCTCTCTCTCTCTCTCTCTCTCTAATTCCCTCCCCCTTCTTACATCTTTGTGACATACCTGTGTGGATATGCATGCATGCATGTATGTGCACATACATGTGGAGGCTACAGTTGACTTTGATGTCTTCTTCCATCACTCTCCACCTTGTATATATTGGGGTAGGGTCTCTCACCTGAACCTAGAGCTGAACATTCTGCTAGTCCAGCTCTCTTTCTTACTTGCTGGAGATTCCCTGCCTCTGTCTTCCTAGCATGGGGATTACAGGCAAATCAGATGGCATTTTCTGTGGGTGCTGAGGATTGGAACTGTCATCTTCATGCTGTATAAGAAGTGCTTTATCTACTGAGACATTTATTTCCCCAGGCCCTTAAAGTGCTTTTCTGAAGTTATTGGATTGGTGAGAAACCAGGCCTTGAGCAGCTTAAGTACTAACAGAATATTTTTAGTAATGTTTAGTTAATTTTTTGAGAATTTCATTTAATATATTTGGAGCTTGTTCATCCCCTTCTTCCACTTCTCTACCTATCCAGTGTCACGTTTGTTCTTTCTCTCTTTTTAAAAAGTTCATTGAGTTCAGTTTGTGTTGACTTGTGTGTGAGGCATATACCCGGCTGTGGTCAGTATACCAGTGTCACACCGTTGAAGGAAACTGACTTCCTCTCCCAGCAGCAATCAATTGCCAATAGTTCATCAGCTAGACGTGGGGCTTTGTGCTTACTTCCCATCCTCCATGTTGGGAATAAAGGAATTTTTTTAAAATTTATTCATTTGAATGTTTCTAAGCCCTTATCTCCTTTGTTGTCAGGGAACACTTCCAGCCCAATTTGGCTTAAAACTGTGTTGATTGACCCAAGTACTAGAATTTCAGTGTGATTCTGTACGGCTCTAAAGAAGCAGAAGGTGCACTCTGAGTGACAAGGATGTAGTAATATTATGGAGTAGAGGGTTTTTGTTTGTTTTGTTTTTTTTTTAATATACATATTTATCCTTTTTTATATTTTATTTTACAATATAATTTAATTCTACATATCAACCACGGATTCCCTTGTTCTCCCCCCCTCCCGCCCCCTCCCCTTCCCACCCAGCCCACCCCCCATTCCCATCTCCTCCAGGGCAAAGACTACCCCCCTCCCAGGACTGAGATCAACCTGGTAGACTCAGTCCAGGCAGGTCCAGTCCCCTCCTCCCAGGCTGAGCCAAGCGTCCCTGCATAAGCTCCAGGTTTCAAACAGCCAACTCATGTACTGAGCACAGGACCCGGTCCCACTGCCTGGATGTGGAGTAGAGGTTTTTGACAGGGGCAACTTTTTCACCCAGAATAAATTTGACAATGTATAGATGTTCTTTCTGGATGCTACTGATTATATACAGGACACATTCCCCCCCCCCCCCATATAAAAACCACCCCCAAATATCAGTAATGCCAAATTTGAGAGACAGTAGGTAGAATCAGCTTTGAGTTTAAGAAGGTCATGCACTTCTAAGGTCAGTAGCAGGGCAGGAGCCAAATATCACTTTGCTCTGGTCTAGTGTTCTGCCTGTTCCTATTTGGTCATTCATGTGGTGCTATATGGTAATATTTTATCTAGCTTCATATCTTACTAATTCTGACTCATATTTATCCTAGCCATACTTAATTGTTTGTATACTGTAAACTCCCCCCTCCCCTTTCCTAGCCATGTAATTTCCTTTGCCTAGAACATTCCTCTCATTTCTGGATAATATTTCACAATTATTCCAAGAAACTTTCCCTGGTTTATAACAACCCAAACTGGGTCAAATCCTACTTTTTCATTCTTCCATAGCTTATTCTTACAATTATCAGACTTACAGGGTCTGATAATAAATATGTCCATTAGCCTATGAGCATCTTGGGAGTTAGGACTCCCAGTCTTGGATTACATAGCTCAGCCATGCAACATTCATTCAGTCATAAAACCTGAGACATATTAGCACCTGAAAATGGGAGAAATCAATGTGAAGTAGTGGTGGGAAAGGCTTTGTAGAAATTGTAAGATGTGCAGTCTCCTGCTTTAATTCCTTGAAAATATTGATGAGTAGATGAGCCCCTTATTTTGGGTGGAGACAGTTCTAAGTAAATGACATTTTTCTGGTGGTGTCTTTCTATAGGTTGATATGTCAGACCTCTCTCCAGAGGAGCAATGGAGGTAAGTGTGCCAGTTCGGGTCCCACAGGCTAACCCAGTAATTATGTAACTACTCTTTTTCTTCTCTGTCTATGGGATGCAGTGTCTTATGACCAGTTGGACAGGTCTTTTGGAAACCTTTCCAAGTATCTGGGTCACTTCTGAACAGTTCACTTGGTCCTAGAGTAAGTAGGTACTTGTACTAAGCATCCTCTTGTGGTGAAGCCAGTTTTGCCATTTGCTAGCTATATGATGTGGGATAAGTTATGTAACTTCTTACCGCCTCTTATCACCACCTATTGGTGAAATTATTAAGGCCACTCCACGTAGTTAAAAGGGAGGTTTATTTAGTGGCGTAACTTACAAATGAAGGGATAGGTAGGTTGCAGGATCTAGGAAAGGCGTGGCGCTGTCTGGCAGTGTTCTCTGGAGAACTCTGCTCGGTCTGCCTCTGGCGTCCAGGGTCCAGGAACCAAGAGAGACAGCGCATCCGGATCTCGGGTCTTCAGGGTCCTCTCTTGGCCCCCGCCTTGTAGGCGTGACAGTTACCGAAGCCTCAGTGGGGGTTGGAACTTCCAGATCAAGGTTAGAATGGTTACCCACTACAACCACTCCCCTTTTTTTCTTATATTGAGGATTGAATCTAGGCCTCATACATGTTAAACAAGTAGAATACCACTGGGCTGTAATTCCAGCCCTTTTTACTTTTTATTTTGAAACAGAGTCTGATCAAGTTGCCCAAGCTAACCTTGAACTTACTGTGTAGCCCTGACAGGCCTAGAATTTACCATCCTTCTGCACTAGCCTCTGAAGTAGCTAGGATATAGGCCAGTCATACCAGGCCTGACAGTTCACTCCATTTGTTTGTCTGTTTTTTGGTTTTTCGAGACAGTTTCTCTGTGTGACTTTGGAGCCTATCCTAGAACTCACTTTGTAGACCAGGCTGGCCTTGAACTCACAGAGATCCACCTGTCTCTGCCTCCCGAGTGCTGGGATTAAAGTTCCATGCCACCACCGGAAATTCTGGAGATTTTTTAACTGGATCATATGTAAGAGAAAGAAACCAGGATTAACATTGTTTACATCATTTTACATGAACAATGATTTAAAAGATTATGACCAGGCTGGGCATGGTGGTGCACACCTTTAATTCTAGGACTCTGGAGGCAAAGGCAGTTAGGTCTCTGTGAGTTCAAGGCCAGCCTGGCCTACATAGTGAGTTGTGGTCTCAAAAAAAAAAGAAAAGAAAATGAAAGAAAGAAAGATAGGTTAGGACTGTTAACCTGAAAGGGCACAGGAAAATGGTGATAGAAACAGGAACAATTTTTCTGTTTGTTGCTTTAATGCAATCCTAAATATTAAAGGTTCGGCATTGGGAATGAGGTGTGGCTGTGTCCTTTGTTTTCACAGAGTTTAGGATTAGGTACAATGGATTAAAGCTGTAAGTAGGTATATTTTTGTTTCATTGTAAAATATGTATATATGTTTTTAGACAAGGTCTCACAAATGCGTTTTAGACAGGCTAGCCTCAACTTCATAGAGATGCATCTGCCTCTGCCTCCAGAGTGTTACAATTAAAGATGTGTACTCAACTATCTTTCTTATACAGCCCAGACCAGAAAATGCCAGCTTTAGATTGTTTCAGATATGTTGTCCAATTGTCTGATTATTGAACTTCTTTGAGCCCTTGAAGAGGCTGTTTACTTGATACTGATGATGAAGACATGTTTGGATTAGTGTAGACTTGAAGCAGTTCAGATTTTTTAGCCTTTAGTTAGTTCTAAACTTGCTCGCTGACCCTGGCAAAGAGGTATGATGAATAAAGTAAGACTCTAGAATCAGCACACTTAAATGTTACACCCTTTCGTGGTGTGATAATTGCTAAGAGTCTAAGGCTTTATGACTATAAACTCTGCTTTCTCCATCTAGTGACAAGGTTGAAATAGGGTTGAAATGGGCAGTGACACAAGCTTCTCCTGGCATTTCCTTCCTGATTCAAGGAAGGTTTCTTATGTTTCTGCCACGAGGGGCAAGCAGCACATCATTCATCTCTAATCCTAATAGCTGTGCTTTGTAAATAGAACCCGGAGAGCCTCTATTCTAACCCATGTCCATCTTCTCAGACATGGGTCTTAGCTCCTAGTTTTCATGGTACCCTTCAGTTGAAAAACCCAGGCTGGGGCTGGAGAGATGGCTCAGAGGTTAAGAGCACTAGCTGCTCTCCCAGAGGTTCTGAGTTCAATTCCCAGCAACCACATGGTGGCTCATAACCATCTGAAATGAGATCTGGCGCCCTCTTCTGGCATTCAGGCAAAAAAAACCCGCTGTATACATAATCTTTAAAAAAGAAAAGAAAAACCCAGGGCTGCTGGGCATGGTGATGCACACCTTTAATTCCAGCACTCAGGAGGCAGAGGCAGGCAGATATTTGAGTTTGAGGCCAACTTAGTCTACATAGTGAGTTCTAGGACAGCCAGGGCTTTGTAGAAATACTCTGCCTCAAAAAAAAACAACAACAAACAAACAGATAAATAAATAAGCAAGCAAACAAATAAATAAATAAATGAAAAACCCAGGGCCATGTTCTGAGCTATAGGCTAGAGGGATACCCTAGGAAACACTGTTCCTTTACCACCACACCATCCCTTCCTTGACTTACCCTGTCTTTTTGGTTTTCAGGGTCGAACATGCACGTATGCATGCCAAACATCGTGGCCACGAAGCCATGCATGCCGAAATGGTCCTTATCCTCATTGCTACCTTGGTGGTGGCCCAGCTGCTCCTGGTACAGTGGAAACAGAGGCACCCCCGTTCTTACAACGTAAGCCACTTCTTATTTATTTATTTATTTAATCCCATAATATAATATAATATAATATAAATAATAAATATTTATTTATTTTTGTTTTTTTTTCAAGACAGGGTTTCTCTGTGTAGCTTTGCGCCTTTCCTGGATCTCGCTCTATAGACCAGGTTGGCCTGGAACTCACAGAGATCCACCTGGTTCTACCTCCTGAGTGCTGGGATTAAAGGCATGCACCACCACCCAGCCTCATTTTTTAAAAAATGTTCTTTGAGACAGGATCTGTAACCCAGGAAGGCCTTGAACTCATTAAGTAGGTGAGAATGATTTTGAACTCCTGATATTTTTGTCTTTACCTCCCAAATACTAGGATTACAGGTGTGTACCACCACACATGGCACTTTAGTCATCCAGAGACCCTTTTTAAGTGTCCTAGGGTCCAGTTTGACCCAGGGCACATGTAGGCAGATAAAAACAGTAGCAATGAATTTTCCATATGGAATGATAAGTAGTTTGTGGGATATACATGTATGTGTGTCTAAAGAGCAAGTAATTTGGTATATGAAAACAAGGATAAAACATGAGACTCCTTTCTTGTTTTTTCTTTTGTTTTGAAACAGAGTCTCACTATTTGCTTTGGCTGTTCTGGAACTCACTATGTAGACCAGGCTGGCCTCGAACTCAAGAGATCTACCTGCCTCTGCCTCCTGAGTGCTGGGATTAAAGGTGTGTGCTACAATCTCCTGGCTAAAAACAAAATGTTTTTAAAATGAAAGGAAGGTGGGGGCCTAGAGAGGTGGCGCAAAAGTTAAGAGCACCAGCTACTCTTCCAGAGGTCCTGTGTTCAATTCCCAACAATCACATGGTAGCTCACAGCCATATATAATGAGATCTGATGCCCTCATTTGGCATGCAGGCATGCAGGTAGAACACTGTATATATCATAAATAAATCTTTTTGTTTGTTTGTTTGTTTTTCAAGACAGGGTTTCTCTGTGTAGCATTGGAGCCTGTCCTGGAACTCAGTCTGTAGCTCAGGCTGGCCTCGAACTCACAGAGATCTGCCTACCTCTGCCTCCCAAGTGCTGGGATTAAAGGTGTGCGCCACCACCGCCTGGCATAAATCTTAAAAAAAAAGAACAAAGGAAGGAAGGTGGGATGGCTATACTAATGTCAAATAACATAGACTTAAATAAAGATTACATGTGATAACATGTTTATATGATTATTATATATGTTAATGAAAGTACAATATAGCAAGAAGATAAAATTATAAATATGTACATGGCAAAAGAGCCCAAAATATGGGAAACAAAAATTGATAGGACTGAAGGGAGAAATAGGCAGTTCTATCGTAGTTGGAGAAATCAGTATTCCCCTTTCAATAATTGACAGAAAAGTGACACAGACGGTCACATATCATGTAGTGAACTTGAAGAACATAAACCAGTCAGACTGGTCCAGGTTGGCTATGAACTTGAGACATTCCTGCCTCAGTCTCCCCACTGTGAGGTTACAAGTAGGCACCACCATACTTTATGACATTCACCAAGTTCTTCTTTTTTTTTTTTGGTTTTTTGAGACAGGGTTTCTCTGTGTAGCTTTGCACCTTTCCTGGAACTCACTCTGTAGACCAGCCTGGCCTCGAACTCACAGAGATCCGCCTGGTTGTGCCTCCCAGTGCTGGGATTAAAGGCATATGCCACCACCACTGGCCTAAGTTCTTAATGTTTTAAGTACTTTACATGTATAAACTCAGTGAAACCTTAGAATAATTTAGTGAGTAGTGCTTTCTTCAGTCAGAGATAAGTAACTGAAATAGAAAATTGGAATAATTTGCTCAAGTGATAAAACCATTAGGTAATTTTACTTTATGACTTTCAGTCATATTCACTAAGTGCTTTTTTTTCCTGCAGTATGTGTTTAGATTTGTAATATTGCCAAAGATGGTTAGGTGTCTGTAGCCAACTACTGTGCTTTCTCATTTAATTAATTTATTCATTTTGGTTTTTCGAGACAGGATTTCTCTATGTAGCCCTTGCTGACCTAGAACTCACTCTGTGGGTCAGGCTGATGGATCTACCTGCTTCTGCCTCCTGGGTACAGGGATTAAAGGTGTGTGCCCCCACCACCCAGCTGTGCCATCTCACTTTATTTCTGTAACAGTGGTATTAGATAAAAGCATAGAAAGTTGAGGCCTGCGAGAATACAGCTAGGCAGGGTAGGATTAAATCTATGTTATTTGTTTCCCATTTCACGTTTTCAGCTCTGCTCTATGTGGCCTCTGGAAATGATTTTCTGTCAAGGGAACTAAGGAATAATCTGGATCATAGTGGAAAAGAAGCTGACCTTTGTCCTTGAGCTTGCTCAAGTTCCAGACCACACTGGTCTTTAGCTCCCTCAGATATTGGCATATATGACTAGTAGAGATATGTACCTTCAGGTCACAGTGCATGAGATGCTCACATGATACCAAGAGTTTCAAAAGAGCCATCATCCCACAGCTTAGCTATCTGGGTGAGTTTCATGTGTGGACCCTGCTCATGCTTCACTCTGTCATCTGAGATAAGACACTTGTAGTTGCTGTGTGTACTCTACAAAATAGAGATTACCACAAGGTTTCATTGAGCCCTGAAAAATGAAAAAAACATTAGAACACGTGTAGAGTGACAGCCCTTTTGGTATTTCTGTTTTTATTTGTTTTTCATTTTATGTTTACAGGTGTTTTATCTACATGTGTGTCTATGTACCACATGCATATAGTAGCATTGAAGGCCAGAAGAGGGTGTTGGATCCCCTGGGACTGATGTTACAGTTGGTTATAAGCTGCCACATACGTGCTGGGATTTGAACTTGGGTCCTCTTAAAGAGCAGGAAGTGCTCATAGCTACAAAGTCATTAAGTTCAGTTCTCAGCACCATTCTCTGGCCTCCCGGGGCACTCATTATATGTACACATCCATGTCTACAGACATGCACATAGTAAATAAAAAAAAGAAATATTGAAAAAAAAAATAGCTGGCAGTGGTGGCACACACCTTTGATCCCAGTGCCTGGGAGGTAGGGGAAGGTAGATTTCTGTGAGTTTGAGGCCAGCCTGGCCTACAGGTCGAGTTCTAAGACAGCCAGGGCTGTTACACAGAGAAACCCTGTCTTGAAAAACCAAAATAAATAAATAAACAAAATAAAATAAATAAAAAAGACTGGGTGTGATGGTAAATGACTTTTATCCCAGCAGAGGCAGGTGGATTTCTGTGAGTTCAGAGCCAGCCTGCTCTACATAGTGAGTTCCAAGACAGTCAGGGCTATAGAAAGAGACCTGTCTTAAAAGCAAACAACAAAAACAAAGTAATAAAAAGTAACATTTTAAAAAGAAGAAAAGGAGAAGAATCTGAATTGGCTCTCTCTATATAATTGTTTTGAGTTAAGGTTTCTCTGTGTAGCCCTGACTGTCCTGGACTCACTTTGTAGACCAGGCTATTCTCTAACTCAGCAACCTGTCTGCCTCTGCCTCCCAGTGCTAGGATTAAAGGTGTGTACCGTTATGCCTGGCTTTGATGTTATATTTTTTTAAAACTTTATTTTAGTTAGTTTGTTTATTGAGACAGGGTCTTATTGTGTAGCTCTGGCTGGCCTGGAATTCACTCTGTAGACCATGCTGGCCCCCACAGAAATCCACCTGCCCCTGCCACCCAAGTGCTGAGATTAAAGGGCTTCACTCCCATGCCTGGCCCCAATCTTTTTATAATGTATTCAACAAATATTTGGATTGGAACTGAAGTGTCAGCTTAATAAACCTGAGCTCGATTTCTGGAACCCATTGTTGAAGGAGAGAACTGACTCCTGACTGAAAGTTGTCCTTTAACTTCTAAACACAGTTAGTAATAAATTATTTTAATTCTTTTGCACTACAACTTTATTTAGTTTACAAAAGGATCTCTAAGTATAGATTGTAAAAAGGAAAGATTTAGTGTAATTTACATTCATTTTAAAACTGGTCTGTAGTGGTGGCCCACATCTTTAATCCCAGCACTTGAGAGGCAGAGACAGGTAGATCTCTCTGAGTTTGAGGATAGCCTGGTCTGCAGAGTGAGTTCCAGAACAGCCAGGGCCACAGAGAGAAACCCTGTCTCAATAAAACCAAAAAATAAAAATAAAAACTTGTTGTACACAAATTTAATTCTGATTAGTATGAACAGTACTTTCATAGATCTACTGCATATAAAAACTTTTCATCAAAGCATTAACAATGAATAAAGTAGGCTGACTGCATTTAAACAAAACTGGCCATCAAAGCCATTTACACTTAGTGCTGGTAAGAGCCAAGAACCCTCAATAAATACAGAACACATCCTCAGCCTGCAACTTCATCTTTGAAAAGGCTGTATATAATTATTGATAGCATATTGGTCTATATGCTACATGCCAATGCATTCTATAATTCTACAGTTAGATGTTTTATCTTTCTTTCTTTTTTTTTTTTTTAAAGGTTTATTTATTTATTATGTATACAATATTCTGTCTGCATGTGTTCTTGCATGCCAGAAGAATATCACCAGATCCCATTATAGATGGTTGTGAGCCACCATGTGGTTGCTGGGAATTGAACTCATGACCTCTGAAAGAGTAGTCAGTGCTCTTAACCGCCGAGCCATCTCTCCAGCCTTATCTTTCTTTATTAAATGTAATCTATACATATTTATAATTTCATCCAGGAAGAATTCCTTCACGGTGGGGAGAAAAAAAACTTTCATTTTTTTTTTTTAACAGGGTTAGATAAAATTAGCTCATGCTTTAGTGCTGTGCAAATATTTATAGCCTATCAATCTTTAAACTAACAGTAAAAGAGTGGTGCTACTAATCATGTATGCCTTAAAAATCAGCTTGTGATTTTAATGTAATTAATGGCAAGCCTTGATTCTAAATGCAAAGTACATAAAGTAACAAAATTAGTATCTGGAGATTTTTTTAAAAACAATGGGTGGTGCTTAGTAATGAGGTCAGAGGTTCTCTGGTGTAC